CTGGGGAATGCCTCACCCTGAACAAGAGGTACCGCACGTCACTGGATTGTAGTACTGTTGATTGTGATGAAGAATTCTGGGGAGGGGACCCAGAAAGCAGGAAATATTAAAAGCTCAGTTTTGGACAGATTTAGTTTGAGGAAGTGGTGTGACATCCATGTTGATATGTCAGTGAGTAGATTAGTGATGTGTGAGGAGATAGAAGGGGTGAGCTGAGGGGTGGAGAGATTTATTTAGCTGTCGTCAACTTAGAAATGGTATTGGAAGCCATGGGAGGTTATCAACTGACCCAGGGAGAAGGTGTAGCTGGAGAACAGAAGGAGCCCAAGGACAGAGCCTTGGGGAACATCCACGGATAGAGGAGGGAGTCAAGTTATAGGTGACACTGAAGGTGCGCTAGGTTAGATAGGAGGTGAACCATAAAAGAGAACAGAGTCTTGGAGGCCAAGGGATTGGAGTTTATTGAGGAGGAGTGGTTGGCCAACTGTTTTAAAAGCAGCAGAAAGTTCCAGGAGTATGAGTATAGAGTAGTGGCTTTTGGTTTTACTGGTTAGTAGATCGATAGTAAGTTTTAGAAGGGCAGTTTCTCTGGAGTGTTTTGGATGAAAGCCAGACTGAAAGGGGTCGAGGAGGTTGTTAGCAGTAAAGTGGCGGCTCAGGCGTTTGTAGACCAGGCGTTCAAGTAGTTTGGAGGTAAATGGAAGGAAGGAGATGAGTTTCAAATTGTTCAAACTGGCGGGCCCCATTGAGGGCTTTTTTTAAAATGGGGTTAACCGATGCTTGCTTTAGAGGGGTATGGGTGATGCCAGTAGAAAGGGAGAAGTTGAAGATGTGAGTAAGAGATTGTAGAATAGAGCTACAGGGTGACCGGAGTAGTTGTGAGGGGATGGGGCTCCAGGGGGCAGGTAGTTAGGTAGGTGTTAGATAAAAGCGTACCAACTTCGTCCGCATTAACAGGTTGAAATGAAGAGAGTATTGAATGTGGTGGTAGACAAGGTGTATTCAGAGTGGTAGATGTCTGGACAGTGGAAGCCTCATAGAGAATTGCATCAATCTTGTCTTTGAAGTGATTGGCAATCTCCTGGGCAGTCAGTGAGTTGGTCGGAGGATGCGCAGGGGGACAAAGTAGGGAGTTGAAGGTAGAAAAGAGCTGAAGAGGACTAGATGAGAGGGTGTTAATGAGTGTGATGAAATAGGTCTCTTTGGCTGTGTGGAGGCAGGTACTGTATTTTTGGAGGGCGGATTTATATAGGGTGAAGTCTTGCAGGAATTTTGGATTTACGCCATAGTCGCTCAAGAGCGCGACTGTGTCTTCTAAGTCTTTTAGTGTCATTTGTCTGCCAAGGCTGTAGTGGATGGGGCCTGATTCTGGGAGTGGTGACTGGGGCAAGTGTGTCCATACAGGAGAAGAGTGAGTTATTGTAGAGAGAAGTGGCAAGGTCAGGGCAGGAAAGGGTTGTGATCTTGGCATAAAGGTGGCCTGTTACAGAGGAAAGAAGAGAAGGGTTAAAGCGGCGAAGGTTCCTACGGGTAATGGTTTGCTGGGTGGAGTGGTAGGGGCTTAACGTTAAAGAGAGTGTCAAACTGACAAGGTTGTGATCAGAGAGCGGAAAAGGGGTGTTGGTGAGATTGCAAGGAGTGCAGAGGTGGGAGAATATGAGATCAAGTGTGTTACCATTAGAGTGAGTAGAAGTGTTAGTCCATTGAGTTAGGCCAAAGGAAGAGGTTAGGCTTAATAGCTGAGAGGTTGCTGGTGTGTTAACGTTAACAGGGACATTAAAGTCACTGAGAATGACAGAGGGTGTTTCAGGGGAGAGAAAATAGGTTAGCCAGGCAGAGAAGTTGTCGAGGGAGCTTGATACTGGTCCTGGAGGCCGATAAATCACAACAATCCTCAGCAAAACTGGGGAAAACAGACGTATACAATGAACTTCAAAAGAGGGAAGTATTAGCCGGGCCGGATTTACTCTCTGCTGCCCCACGGCCAGGTGCCTCTATGCGCACCCCTCCCCGCTAATCCCCCCAATGGAGAATGGCAACCAGATGGCGGGGGCGGCAGGTTTACTTTTCATATTTTTCCCCATTTTTTATCACTTTTATTATTTGTTTAATTTTCATTTATTCTTTACTTGTTTAAATTTTTATTTCTCTTATTTTTTTTAAACGTATTTTTGGTTTTTTAAATACTTTTTTATAATATTATTTTTTACTTTATCACCTTTTAATATTTTATTTGAATTATTATTTTTTTCTTAATTTTTATTTTATTATTATTTTTTTCCACTTAATTTTATTGCTGTCACACAGGAGCTAACAAGCCCCTGTGTGATAGCATTTGGAGGTGCCAGGTTCTCTTGATGGGACCTGTCACTTCCAATACAGAAGTTCTAGCACTGCGCTGGCTCTCCTGTGACAGCGGAGAGGGGAAGGCTGTGTCAGTGTTTACACGAAGCAGAGCGAAGAATGGACGATAAGTTCATGAGCATTGTTAATCGATGAATATATTTATATCCCCGCCCTACTCCAACTCTCCATCTCTATGACCAAGTCTCATCTGGGGAGAACCATGCTGGCGGAGTAGGAGCAGGGTCTGGCAGAGAGCTATGTGCTTTGGTTTGTGGTCTATTTAAGTTGCAATAAAGCTTTTTGAAGTTTTGAAAAAAAGAATTGAAAAAATTGCAGCTTTCTTTGAACCCTGTATGCTATGTGGTACGTTACACACTCCTGACCGCAGCATCTTATATGCTATGTTGTACATTACACACTCTTGACTACAGCATTTTATATGCCTTTTGTACATTACACACTCATGACTGTAGCATAGTAGCGTAGTGGTTAGCACTTCTGGTTTGCAGCACTGGGGGTCCCGGATCAAATCCTGATCAGGGCATCATCTGCATAGAGTTTGCATGTTCTCTCTAGGCTTGTGTGGCTTTCCTCCGGGTGCTCTGGTTTCCTCCTACACTCACTGGTAGGGTAAGTGGCTTCGGTCTGAATCAGCGTTGTATGTACATGTGGGGCAGAAGCTCCTTGGGGGCAGGGACTGAAGTGAATGTGCAGTATGCTGGGTCCCAGGCAAACAGCTGAAGCTTGCCAAGAGTTATATCCCTTCCTGCCACTATAGGCTGGGAGGGAGAGTGGGCGCCACTGTAGGCTGGGAGGGAGAGTGGGCACCACTGTAGGCTGGGAGGGAGAGTGGGCACCACTGTAGGCTGGGAGGGAGAGTGGCTGGGAGGGAGAACAGACACTGCTATAGGCTAGGGCCCAGTGATGGCGAACCTTGGCACTCCAGCTGTGTTGGAACTACAAGTCCCATGAGGCATTGCAAGGCTCTGACAGCCACAGACATAACTCCCAGAGGCAGATGCATGTTGGGATACGTAGTTTTGGCACAGCTGGAGTGCCAAGGTTCGCCACCACTGGCCGCTAGGCTGTAGGCTTGGAGGGAGAGGGGACAGTGCTATAGGCTGAGAAATAGAGCAGGCACTGCTATAGGCTGGGAGGGAGAGTGGGCACTGCTATAGGCTAGAATGGAGCGCGGGCACTGCTATAGGCTGGGAGGGAGAGTGGGCACTGCTATAGGCTAGAATGGAGCGCGGGCACCACTCATAAGCTGGGAGGGAGAGTGGGCACCACCACTGGTGAGTTCTATTGCCCTGAGCACTTAAAGCTACCCTTTAGAAGAGGGGAGTTGTAGTGTGGGACTGCCTGGCACCTTGTGTTGATTTCATTTGCTGTGATCAGGACACAGCTCACTTGTTTTTGAATGTCTGGCCATGTGAATAATTATAGCACAGCAACATTAACATACATGTGCACGGTTTATACTATGATAATCCTCTGAGAAATGTTTTAATAATGGAGATAAATGATGACATCACTGCTCATTATGCGGGCATGACATACCTTACTTCCTCTACACTACTGTATTCTGTATAGTAATCTATAGTAATGCCAATAGTAATGGGAAACAAGTTCTCCTGACCACCAGGGATTTCCTTCACCTTGGAGGGATTTGCTCTCACTTCCTGTTGTGCCTATCAGACAGAAAGTATAGGGAAATGTCCCCAATGGGACACAGATGGCAAAAAAAAAGCAAAAACGTTTTGGCTTCAGTTACACTCTATATCCAGCGTATGAACCTGAATTTGACCCGGTATATGTTTCTTGCAATTCCCTATACAGCAGCACTCAGACTTGCAGAGGGAGGGGCAGAAGAGGGAGCAAATCAGGTGTGCTGCATGCAAATGGGTTTACAGGTAACACTCTGATAGAAGGAAAGAGCAAAGTGATGTCAGATCAGCCGCTGTTTCTCCTGTGAGTATCCGGTCACAGGCTGGGGGAGGGGCAAGACCTGTAGCTGTTTTTTAAGGGCATCAGAGAAAAATCAGGTCTCCATCAAGATAATTCTCATAAATGTAGCAACCTCAGCACTGGATGGACAAGGAGCAAATGCTTCATCAGGTAAACCAGTTCCATATAATAATAATAATAATAATATATCACTTTTTATCCCTGGGGGACTTAAAGGGCATTTCAAAATTGGTGTAACTGCTTGCCTAAGTTTCTTCTTTAATATTATGTGTAGTTAATTGTACTGCTAAATATTAGGATTGTAGTTGTATACTCAATTCTTAGTTTCCAGAGCAACTTATGCGTCCCTGACAACCACTTTCCGAAACTGTCCATTAGATTGACCTGTCCTTCCAACGTCCCCATAGCAACAGGGCCTCCGTGTTCGGCCACTGCTCCATCTCCGCAGTGACTCACAGACCCTTTCCACTACTCTGCGTATCTCGCTTCCGTGAATAGCAACTTATGTAAACAGGCAACTCGCTTGTTTCCCATTGGCCGCCGTATCCCTTGTGTCACGTGTGCCAGCTGCGTGAGCGGACCTCCAGCCCACAGCGGCCGGGCTTTGTGCGCCTGCGCCGGTCGCGAGATGGCGGACGGAGGCGTAGCTGCGGGCTGTGCGTGACGTCAATCGAGCCAAGCGCATGCGCCATCGACAGTGGAAAGTACCAGAAGCCGTTTATCGCTGGACTGCGCCGGTCGTTGCTGAGGTGTTCTGTCGTTGGTCGTTAACGGTAAGTAGGGTTTCGGTGCTGTGTCACCAAATGTGGGAGAGCCGGTGTCGCTTGACGTAAAAAAACAAAAAGGTCTGTTCTTGTTGAGGAAATGGCTGCCTGTGTGTGTGAGGGAGCAGAGGGACGGGGCTTGTGAGGTACTGGTGTAATGGCGGCCGTCTGTGCCTTATTTACCTAATTATACACCGTTTTGAGGTCATTATGTCTCCCTTTACCTCAGACAGATCATTGTATCCCTAATTCATAGCATACACCAGACTTAAAGTGAACCTGTCATCACAAAGCTGGCCAATCCTGAAGCCTCAAATTTTGTTTTCAGGTTGTAACATCCTTGTTGTCATTTCCAGGCCTTACACGTTTTATGCTCCATTTATTCAGAATAAACATTCACATACCCGGTGAAACCAACTTTCTTCAGTAATCTGTCGCTGGACGCCCCATGCTACCATCAGAGAACTTCTGATGTCATCAGGGGGCCAAATGTCTCTTCCTGGTTCTTGTAGCCGGCAACTTGATGACACTCGTATGCAGCGGCGCTTCATCATGGGGCCGGATGTCTCTTCATGTTTCTTACAGCTGTCCCCCTGATGACATATGCAGCAGCGCTTCATCATGGGGTCGGATGTCTCTTCCTGTTTCTTGCAGCTGTCCCCCTGATGACATATGCAGCAGCGCTTCATCATGGGGTCGGATGTCTCTTCTTGTTTCTTGCAGCGTCCCCCAGATGACATATGCGGCAGCGCTTCATCATGGGGTCGGATGTCTCTTCTTGTTTCTTGCAGCGTCCCCCAGATGACATATGCGGCAGCGCTTCATCATGGGGCCGGATGTCTCTTCTTGTTTCTTGCAGCGTCCCCCAGATGACATATGCGGCAGCGCTTCATCATGGGGCCGGATGTCTCTTCTTGTTTCTTGCAGCGTCCCCCAGATGACATATGCGGCAGCGCTTCATCATGGGGCCGGATGTCTCTTCTTGTTTCTTGCAGCGTCCCCCAGATGACATATGCGGCAGCGCTTCATCATGGGGCCGGATGTCTCTTCTTGTTTCTTGCAGCGTCCCCCAGATGACATATGCGGCAGCGCTTCATCATGGGGCCGGATGTCTCTTCTTGTTTCTTGCAGCGTCCCCCAGATGACATATGCGGCAGCGCTTCATCATGGGGCCGGATGTCTCTTCTTGTTTCTTGCAGCGTCCCCCAGATGACATATGCGGCAGCGCTTCATCATGGGGCCGGATGTCTCTTCTTGTTTCTTGCAGCGTCCCCCAGATGACATATGCGGCAGCGCTTCATCATGGGGCCGGATGTCTCTTCTTGTTTCTTGCAGCGTCCCCCAGATGACATATGCGGCAGCGCTTCATCATGGGGCCGGATGTCTCTTCTTGTTTCTTGCAGCGTCCCCCAGATGACATATGCGGCAGCGCTTCATCATGGGGCCGGATGTCTCTTCTTGTTTCTTGCAGCTGTCCCCCTGATGACATATGCGGCAGCGCTTCATCGGGGGGGCCGGATGTCTCTTCCTGGTTCTTGCAGCTGTCCCTCTGATGACATTCATATGCAGCAGTGCTTCATCAGGGGGCCGAATGTCTCTTCCTGGTTCTTGCAGCCGGCCTCTGATGACATTTATATGCAGCAGTGTGCCAGATGTCTCTTCCTGGTTGTTTCTGCAGGCCCCCTGGTGATGCACCGCATCGCGTGCCTGTTTTTGCTAGATCGCCCTGAAACTTTGTGTGACGCAAGTGTCCCTCACAGCGTACGTCATTCTCGCCTAGGTGAGGAATACAGAAGTGGGGGGTTTATGGGCAATCTAGCGGAAAATGCGTATGTGATGCGTCATCAGGGGGCTGGATGTCTTTTGGTTCTTGCAGCCAGCCCCTTGATGACACTTATATGCAGCAGCGCTTCATCAGGGGGCCAGATGTCTCTTCCTGGTTCTTGCAGCCAGCACCTTGATGGCACTTATATGCAGTGGCGCATCATCAGGGTGTCATTGAGGGGCTGGCTGCAAGAACCAGGAAGATGCATCTGGCCCCCTGATGAAGCGCTGCTGCATATGAGTGTCATCTAGGGGCTTGATGTTTCTTTATGGTTTCTTGCAGCTATCCCCTCGACGACACACTGCAGCGCATGCCCATTTTCACTAATTGCCTCAAAACCTCCTGGGATCTGTGACGTGAGTATTCTGGACAGCTGCGGGAGTACATAATTCTCGCCTAGGTGAGAAATACAGAAGTGAGGGCTTCCAGGCAATCTTGCGGAAATGCGTATGTGATGCGTCATCGGGTGCCGGATGTCTCTTCCAGGTTCTTGCAGCTTCCCTCTGATGACATTTATATGCAGCAGAGCGTCATTAGTGTGCCAGATGTCTCTTCCTGGTTGTTGCTGCAGGCCCCCTGATGACGCACCACAGTGTGTGCCCGTTTTTGCTAGATCGCCCTGAAACCTCGTGAGATGTGTGACGCGAAAATCCCGGACAGCTGCAGGAGTATGTCATTGTCGCCTAGGTGAGGAATACAGGAGTGGTGGCTTCTGGGCAAGCTAGCGGAAATGCCTACGTGAGGGGGCCGATGTCTCTTCATGGTTCTTGCAGCTGGCCACCTGTTGACATTCATATGCAGCGGCACGTCGTCAGTGTGCCAGATGTCTTTTCCTGGTTCATGCAGTGGGCCCCATAGTGACATGCTGTGGCACATGCGTGTCATCAAGGGGCCAGGTTTAAGTACCAGGAAGAGACATCCAGCCCCCTGATGACGCTGCGTGTGCATTTTCACTGGATTGGCCCAACTTCTAGATTTCTTGCGTAGAATATATACAGTACTGTTGAAAAGTTTTAGGCAGGTGTGAAAAAAATGCTGTAAAGTAAGATTGCATCCTGCCGCACCGTACAAGCGATCCGACGGCTGTATAGCTGCCATATCACTTGTATCTAAAGAGTCATCGCCGACTGTTTAAAACGATACCAAGAATTCCGCTTGCAGCAGCCATGTTCTTGGTATAACTACTTCAGGACAGGATGCTTTTTTTTATGGTGGGCGGTCCTGAAGTGGTAAAAGCACTTTTCCTACTGCTAAACAAAAAAAACACTTAGGCGTGAACAAGGCCTTAATGCAGTAAATGAAATATACATAATTCTTGCTGCTCTTCGACATCGGAAGATGTCCACCAGTGCCATCGGCACCGAAATGGCGGAAACCAGTGGGACCCTGGTACTCCCATCTACTGTCAGAAGTCTGGCAAGAAGTGGTCTTCATGGAAGAAGTGCAGCCAAAAAGCCATGCCTCTGACGTGGAAACAAGGCTAAGCGACTCAACTATGCACAAAAACATATGAACTGGCGTGCCCCTATAGAGCCCTAATCTCAGCATCATGGAGTCTGTCTGGGATTACATGAAGAGACGGAAGGATCTGAGGCAGCCGACATCCACAGAAAATATGTGGTTAGTTCTCCAAGATGTCTGGAACAACCTACCTGCCGAGTTCCTTCAAAAACTGTGTGCAAGTGTACCTAGAGGAATTGATGCTGTTTTGAATGCAAAGGGTGGTCACACCAAATATTGATTTGTATTTTTCTTCTGCTCGTTTACTTTCCATTTTGTTTATTGATCAAAATAAACTATTAACACTTTTATTTCTGAAAGCATTCTTACTTTATAGAATTTTTTTACACCTGCCTAAAGTGTGTGTGTGTGTGTGTTTTGATAAAATATTTGTCATGCTTCCTGAAAGGGGGGTTGCTTTAAACAGAGACTATTGTAAAATAAGGAGAGGGGAATTGTTTTAATTTCTACAACGTGGGTGGGCCCTTTAGGGTCCATTCACACCACATGCATTGGGGCTGCACTGGCCACTGTTTACAGTGCAGCTCCAATGCAAGACTACGTAATTTGACTTGTCAGGTATGGACACCTTTCACACCTCAGGCTTGCGGTGCTTTGCGCTTGAGAAAAAATATACCGCATGCCTTACTTTACCTTACCATCCTTGGTAATGGAGTGTGTCCATTGCCTTCCTCTTTCAGGCTGACAATGCTCACCCACTGCCTTACAAAGCAACAGTGGGGTTGTCGCCCTTCCAGCATGCTGCCTCTGTGGGACTACAGGCAGCCATGATGGTGCACAGCTTGTTTGTCCCCTGGGAATGTCAGCCAGACCAATGACATCATAGGAAGACTGGCCAGGGCTGCTGGGAGTTGCAGATCAGGAAGCAGTGGTGCTGTTGCTGGCTGTGATGTTCTGCTGCTCCTTCCTCCCCACCCATAGCCCTTGTCAAGCATTGTAAACAGAGAGGATGTGGTCACATGACTGCTATTAAAGAGTTAGTTCACCTTTTATGATAAAACTTGGTGCTGTCAAGGTGTCTCGTTCATTTATAAATCGCATTTAGAAAAACTGAGTTTAGTTTAATTACATGCTTGTAGGCCAATCTAGGACGGGCGGTACGCTGAACGCGCCTCTGTCACCACAGGAGGCGAGGGCTCTTCCTTGTCGTCCCTCGGTATCCCTTGTTCGTGCTGGAAGTGTGCTTCAAGCACAAACAAAAACGGATAACGTAAGCAAGTATTTTTATCATTTTCATACTCCGTTTGGTTAGAGGGACACAGGGTGCTCTCCTTGGTTTTTGTGTGTGTGTTTGCCTACACATTTATTTGAAATGGCTTTTGATTGCAGAAATAACCACACTGACCAATGCAAGTGATCATGACCATCGGTTCTGGCTATTTCTCTGACTTCTTTTGTCTGCTGGCTTTGAGCTTGATGGCTGAATACAGGGCATATTAAAGCAGCTACAGATTGCACAAGGGACGTGGTTGTCAGCAGCAGCAATGAATGGCATTGCTATAACTAGCCCCATATGCTGCAACTGGTCTCGAGAAATTATTTTGCAGTGACAGCAGTTCAATATTTTGTAGATGCAGATTGATTCTGTTCTTGCTACAGAATGACTGGTTCCACTTTGCGTCTCGGACTATAGAGGGTTTGGAGCCAAAAGAACCAGGGTAGC